GCGCCTATAGCTCAACCGGCTAAGGCGCCAGCCATGTACACCTAAGGTGGCGGGTTCGAATCCCCAGCCCGGACCCGCCAAAACAACAATGACAGCTGCAACCAAAAAATAGCCGGGCGTTGTGGCAGGCGCCTGTGGTCCCAGCTACTTGGGAGGCGGAGGCAGGAGACTCGCTTGAGCCCAGGAGTTGGAGGTTGCTGTGAGCTGTAATGCCACGGCACTCTACCCAGGGGGACAGCTTGAGGCTCTGTCTCAAAAAAAAAAAAAAAAAAAAAAAAAAAACGATTCTGAATGATATTCAAACCCACTGGCCATAATAGAAAAGATTGGCAGATTTGACTGCATTAAAAATTAAGGTCACAAAGCATACCATAAAAGGGGACAAACTGGGGAAAAAATTGCAATCTATACAACTAGCATTTGAGGGATTTCACCATAAGACTGAATTCACCATAAGCTGACTGATTCACCATGAGATGAATAATTGATAAGAAAAAAGGACAAAAGATACGAATTTACAAAAAAGGATATTTAATGGTCAATAAACAGGAAAAGATGCTTATTCTCGTTTATCATTTTTGGTGGTGGTGTTTTTTGTGTTTTTGTTGTTGTTTTTCTAAGAGACAAGGTCAGACTGTCTCCCAGGCTAGAGTGCAGTGGCTATTCTTAGCAGGAGTGTAGGCATGTACCACCACGCCTAATTCTTTAATTTTTATAGAGACGATATCTCATTATGTTGCCCAAGCTGATCTTGAACTCTTGGCCTCAAGTAACTCTCATTCTTACTTATAGTGAAATTTCTATATTAAAGGGAAAATTTCTACTGCCAAATTTGTACATTTGAATGATGATAGTGTCAATGTTGGGGGATGTGGGTAAATAACCAACTGGAGGTGATTGTGATAATTTGTATTATCTCTTCTTGCATAACAAATTTAGCAACTTAACAAACATTGTTATCTCACAGTTTCTGTAGCTTAATAATCCAGAAGTGGCTTCGCTAGGTGGTTCTGGTTCAGAGTTTTTGTGAAGTTGTGGTCCTACTATCAGACAGGGCTGCAGTTACTGGAACTGGACGGCCCACTCGTAGGTTCACCCACTGGGGTCTTGGCAGGCCCTCATTTCTCACTGTCTGTTAGCCATAGACAGCCATTCCTTACAACATGGGCCTTGCTGTGTGCTGCCTGAGTGTCCTCGCACATGACAGACAGTTCCCTCCTTGAGCAAGTGATCCGAGAGAAAGAGCAACCAAGATGCCATGCTGTCTTCTGTAATATAATCTAATCCTAGAAGTGACATCATGTCACTATAACATGTTATTGGTCACATAGACTAGTCATGGTACAGTGTGGAAAGGGACTACGCAAAGGTGTGGATATCAGGAGGGAAGGATCCCAAGGGACCTTGGAGGCTGGCTACCATGTGACTGTATGGAACTGGCCCAGGGCTGGGTTTTACATGGTGTCTGCTGTGGCTGGAGTGGCCCCAAATGGCTTTCTCTGCAATGTCTGGCACCTAGTTAGAGTTGGCAAGAGCACCTGGGGACTGGCTGGGCATCTTTCACTCCATGTGGCCTCTCCACGTGGCTGCTTCAGACTTGCTACCACATCATGGTCTCAGGTTAGTCAGACTTCTATCAACTGGCTTCCCCAAGAGCCAGCGTTCTAGGAGACCTAGGCAAAAACCGCAAAGCTTCTTAGGATCCAGCCTCAAACTTTTTTCACGTTCTTTCAAAGGCATGATTACCAAGAAGTATGATTTATTGTGAAGGGCATCTCTGGAATATGTCCCGGGAAGTCATGATTGTGAGAGATGACACTGGCTTATTCTAAAGTGATATCAGTGCAGGGAATAAAAATTGGTCTGATACTAGAAATATTTTGAAGATAAAATGAACAGAATTTGTTTATGGATTGGATATGTAGTCTGTGGGAGAAATAGAGCAATTATTAGATTTTTGAGCTGAGTAGTTTGAAGAATGAGAATCTGTTTACTGAGATGAGAAAGACTGTAGGACAGTGGGTTGGAAAGGAAGACCGGAATTAGTTAAGCTGTCAGGTATCTGTGTAAGTGAATACATAGAGAAATGTGGCCATTCAGAAGGGGATCTACAATAAATCTGTCAGTGTTATAGTAGGAACACTATGGTATTCCTTGCATGCTATGGTAAAGAGAATTGATTCCTGTTAGGAAGAAAGACATATTTATTAATGTTCATTAATAATATTTAATTGTTTTTTTAATATGTGCATAAAGTTCTAGCCTGTCTTTCTAGGGGAATCATAAGAGTTTGGATTAAGGGGTAGCACCTGTGGCTCAAGGAGTAGGGCACTGGCCCCATATACTGGAGATGATGGGTTCAAGCCCAGCCCTGGCCAAAACTGCAAGAAAAAATAAATAAGATGAAAAAAAAAAAAGCTTGGATTAAGGCGGTGCCTGTGGTTCAGTGAGTAGGGTGCCAACCCCATGTACCCAAGGGTGGTGAGTTCAAACCTGGCCCCAGCAAACTGCAACAAAAAATAGCCGGGCGACAAAATGAAACTCTGTCTCTTAAAAAAAAAAAAATAGAGTTTGGATTAAACCCATAGGCAGGGGAAACTTTTTGAAAGTTTTTGATCAAAGGAGTGATATGATCATAATTATGCTTTACGGATGAATTTAACAATGTAAAGAGTACCAAGACATGGTGGCTCACGCCTATATCCTAGCAACTCTGGGAGGCTGAGGCAGGCAGATTACCTAAGCTCAGGAGTTCGCGATCAGGCTGAGCAAGAGCCAGACCCGGTCTCTAAAAAACAGCCAGCCATTATGGCAGGCACCTGTAGTCTCAGCTATTTGGGAAGCTGAGACAAGAGAATCACTTGAGCCCAAGAGTTTGAGGTTGCTATGAGCTATGATGCCACAGCATTCTACCCAGGGCAACAAAGTGAGACTCTTGTTTTAAAAATACCAGGCAGAGTAGGGCGCCAGCCACATACACCCAGGCTGGCAGGTTCGAACCTGGCCTGAACCAGCTAAACAACAATGACAGCTGCATCAAAAAAATAGCTGGGCGATGTGGCAGGTGCCTGTAGTCCCAGCTACTTGGGAGGCTGAGGCAAGAGAATCACCTAATACCAAGAGTTTGAGGTTGCTGTGAGCTATGACACCACAGCACTGTACCCAGGGCAACATAGTGAAACTCTGTCTCAAAAAAATAAATTAATTAAATAAAATAAAACTATGTAAAGAGTGAAAGAAGAAGGGTGGCGCCTGTGGCTCAAGGAGTAAGGTGCCGGCCCCATATACCAGAGGTGGCAGGTTCAAACTCAGCCCTGGGCAAAAAAAAAAAGAAATCAAAGGCAAAACATTTCATCGGGCAGCACCTGTGGCTCAGTGAGTAGGGCGCTGGCCCCTTATACAGAGGGTGGTGAGTTTGAACCTCGCTCCAGCCAAACTGCAACAAAAAGATAGCTGGGCATTATGGCAGGTGCCTGTAGTCCTAGCTACTTGGGAGGCTGAAGCAACAGAATTGCCTAAGCCCAAGAGCTGGAGGTTGCTGTGAGCTGTGATGCCATGGTACTCTACCGAGGGCAACACAGTGAAACTCTTGTCTCTAAAAAAATAAAATTAAATAAATAAAAGAGTGAAAGAAGAGCAGGGGAGCCAGGGAGTGAACTCTGTTAAAGCATACCAAGTTCTATTTCAGATCTGTGAAATTAAGTCTATGGAGGTCAGAGACAGTGTTGCTTTCCCTGTTTTATTTTTAGCTTTTAGCCTGGAGCAATCCAAGTGACAAATGGTGAGAGAGTAAATGCATCATTACCAGTTCACGCTATTTGAGAAAAGTCTAGTCTGAATTAGTAAAATGTCTTAATTATAGACTTTTATTCATTGAAATTTTATTATGTTCAAGAGATAACAGACATAGTATAGTATCAACAGGTAGGAGACCTGTACACATTTGATTTAGGAGACTGTAGCATATCAAACATCATCTTATTTTCTTTGATGCTATATTTAACTTTTTTAAGTTTATAAGAATTTGGTTAATTTTTTGAGTTATTTTAAATTCATCTAATACCTGTACACATTAAGACCTTCCAAGTCCTTTTTTATATATATAAATTTTTATTTATTCATATCCTGAATTTAAGATATGATACCAAGTTCTTTGAATGGTAATGAAAGGTTCCAGACATCTAAGGCATATTGTTCAAAAACATTATGACTATCAAGTAGGAATTTTAAAAGAGATTTTTTTTTTAGAGGAAAGGTAGACCAATGAAATCGTCACCAACCCAGAGATCATACTTTGCTCTTCCTATAATGAGGTAGATTTCATGCTGTGCTTCTAAAAATAATATAAATGAAACTAATAGACAGATGACCAAATAGGAAGAACAGTGACATTTTTAATATCATTAATGAATTAATTACTCGGCCTCTTGAGTAGCTGGGACTACAGGCGCCCGCCACAACACCTGGCTATTTTTAGAGATGGGGTCTCACTCTTCCTCAGGCTGATCTCAAACCCATGAGCTCAGGTAATACACCCACCTCAGCCTTCCAGAGTGCTAGGAGTATAGGCGTGAGCCATCACACCCAGCCCTTGGCCTGCAAGTTTTAATAGACAAGACTTTATTCTCAAAAATTCATTATTCTTGGCTCGGTGTCTATAGCTCAATGAGTAGGGCGCCAACCACATACACCAAGGCTGGTGGGTTCAGGCCAGCCCTGCTAAACAACAATGACAACTCCAACCAAAAAATACCCAGGCCGGGTGTTGTGGCAGGCACCTATAGTCCCAGCTACTCAGGAGGCCAAGGCAAGAGAATCGCTTAAGCCCAAGAGTTTGAGGTTGCTGTGAGTTATGACACCACAGCACTCTACCCAGGGCAACATAGTGAGACTCCGTCTCAAAAAAAATTTTTTTCATTATTCTTTATTTCATGATGTATTTGTCATATTGGTTTGAATAAATTATAAGATATTTGCTAAAAATGTCTTGTGTATTTCAGGGGCTACGCTAAGTATGAGACCAGCCCCTATTCCTATAGAGGATCCTGAATGGAGACAAACGCCTCCCCCAGTCTCTGCCGCATCTGGGACCTTCCGACTACGACGAGGAAGTCGATTCACCTGGAGAAAGGAGTGCCTGGCTGTGATGGAAAGGTATGTGTCTCCTTTTCCTATGAGAAATCTCCCAAGCTAAGGAAAGACATGAACTTTGGATAGACTGGGACAGCTTTCATTTCGAGTAAGTTATTTGGGATCTGGGTTCTACCTCTGAAAGTATTTTGGAATATTAATAAATGCTATATTATTGAAATAAGGTGATCTTGGCTCGGCGCCTGTAGCTCAGACAGCCCAGGTGCCAGCCACATATACCAGAACTGGCAGTTTTGAATCCAGCCTGGCCAAAAGCTGGGCATTGTGGCGGGTACCTGTAGTCCCAGCTACTTGGGAGGCTGAGGCCAGAGAATCACTTGGGCCCAGGAGTTTGAGGTTGCTGTGAGCTGTGACACAACAGCACTCTACCCAGGGTGACATAGTGAGACTCTGTCTCAAAAAATAAAATAAATAAAAAGATGTGGTGATCTTGGCATTAAGAATTCATAAAGCTGGAGTTAGCATCTATTTATTTATTTTACTTATAATTTAATAGCATCCTCAGTAATTTAAGAAACTTTAGATGAAATATTTATTAAATTTATATTTTTGTATTATATTTTGGAAAAACTCTTTGAAGTCTTCTTTTCATCAAAAATATCGAATAATTTTATAGGAGGCCACCGTAATGTACCTTTCTTCTGTATGGTATGCTAAACAAGTAAGTTTAGTACCAAAACTTAGAAATACTTGTTTTTGATTTTGATTCAATAATTTATCCTCTCACTCTACTACCAGTACCTGATCCATAGTAGATACTCTTTACTTTTTTAGCCCAAATTTGACCCTAGCTTCCGTTTTTCCCATCTGAAATGTTATAAATTAATTGTGATTATGAAATGTGCAATAGTAGTTAGCATAGTTCCTATAGTAGAACTACCCTTTTTGTCACCTACCTATAAGTGATGTTTACAGAATATTTTTTGATGGAAAGCTTTATGTGCAGTAAGGTAATAATGTTCTGGCTGTATACTTTTACTGTTATCTAACCTGACCAGTGGAATGATATACTGGACAGAGCATTTGACTCAGAGTGAGAAAGCCTCAGCCTTTGCTTAGGTCACAAAAACTCTGACCTGTGACTTTATAGCTAAAATAATCATTTTTAGGCCTGGTGGGGTAGCTCTGCCTGTAATTCCACCCCTTTGGGAGGCTGAGGCAGAAGGATCCCTTGAGGCCAGGAGTTTACCAGCTTGGGTAACATAAGACCCTGTCTTTACAAACAATAAAGAAATTAGGGGTGGCACCTGTGGCTCAAAGGAGTAGGACACCGGCCCCATATGCTGGAAGTGGTGGGTTCAAACCCAGCCCTGGCCAAAAACTGCAAAAAAAAAAAAAAAAAAGGAAAAAAGAAAGAAATTAGCCAGGCATGTGGCACATGCCTACAGTCCTAGCTTCTCAAAAGGCTGAGGTCAGAAGATCACTTGAACTCAGGAGTTCAAGGCTGCAGTGAGCTATGATCAGCCACTGTATTCCACTCTGGATGACAGAGAGACCCAGTCTCTAATAAATAAATAAATACATACTGAAAGATTTTCAGTAGCCCATATGTCATCTAAGACTTTTGCTATCTCTATTCTCTACTTTATGATTATTTCCCAGCTCATTAACTTCACTCCCTGAAAGATTTAAAAAGCTGGACTTCAGACTTTTGCTTTTGTACATAGCTGAAATTAATAAATTTTCTTAGGCAAACCTATTTCTATTATGTAAATTAAAAGGTTGGAGCCAGGAGCGGTGCCTGTAGCTCAGTGAGTGGGACACCAGCCCCATACACCAAGGGTGGCGGGTTTAAACCTGGCCCCACCAGCCTGCACCAAAAAAAGTAGCCAGACCTTGTGGCAGGTGCCTGTTGTCCCAGCTACTCTGGAGGCTGAGGGCAAGAGAATCGCATAAGCCTAAGAGCTGGAGGTTGCTGTGAGCTGTGATGCCATGGCACTCTATCAAGGGTAACAAAATGAGACTCTGTCTCTAAAAAAAAAAAAAAAAGTTGGGTCCAGTGCCCTAAATGAGACTATAGGTTATCCACTGATAGTCATCTGTTCCTTTCCTCACTCTGCTTATTATGGATAAGAGGACTCATTATTCAATGAATCCTTACATACTTGAGTCAGTAAAGAGTGAGACTGCTATCCTAGAGACCTGACATTTATAGTCTGCTCTTTTTCTCATCTAGAAATTTTTATCCCTCTTAAAAATTTCTTTAGAACTTATGGGAATTATAATGCCTAATTTAAAGTATTTACAATGTTATACATTTTCCTCCCAGGAAAAAAAAATAAGCTTCAGTATTGGTTTCTAGCTAGTGTATGTCCTAACTGTGGTATTAACCATTTCATTTTTTCATTGACGATGCAATTTACATTTTATTACATAATGTCAGTGTCAGAAAGAATTAATTTAAACACCAACAACGATAGTGAGAGGGGTATTCCTATTGCATTTTCAGAATTGAACCTCAGAGTCTTTAGGATTCTTTTTTTTTTTTTAATTTTTTTCCAAGGCAGCAAGAACTAGCCACAGAATTACACTGATTAAATTTCAGTTAAAAAGATACTGAGTAATTTATACTTTTAACTTTAATTTTAATTAATATGTGTCTTTATCTAAACCTAGAATCGGTTTATCTTAAGTTTAATTTTATCCTACCTGGCACAACTAGAAAGAGGATGTGGTTTATTCCAATAGTTACAAAAATGCAGACTGCCTTTCAAAGTACTTAATAACAGTACAAAAGGTCGTAGTATGACTTTCCTTCTGGAAAAGTGGACGTTTTTATTTTCCGACGTGGAATATAAAATTCCCTACCCTTAGAGTAAAGCATAATTTTTTTTTTTGAAAGAATGGGTAAATAAATACATATGCACAGACTATAAAACCAGCAAAGTAAGCCTTACTCAAATTTGTAGTATAAGATAAAGTTAGAAATCATTCCATTCCTCACACCATACACCAAGACAAATTTCAAATGAATCAAAAAAGTGAAGCTATATAAATAATAAAGGAAACATGATGATCCCTCCCAATCCTAGAAATGAGGAAAAAAAAAAAATACAGGACAGACTTCAGAGTCACACAGGCTAAGGTTTAGTTCCAGCTTCACCCTATGTTAATCTTTGGGAATTTCTGGTTTCTATAAAGTGGAGGTGATTATTATGAGAAGAGCTGGGCAGCGCCTGTGACTCAAAGGAGTAGGGCACTGGCCCCATATGCCGGAGGTGGTGAGTTCAAACCCAGCCCCGGCCAAAAACTGCAAAAAAAAAAAAAAGAAGAAGAAAGCCATGAGTGTGAATGAACTCTGGTTAAGTCTGACTAAATCTCTCTGCTCATACAGTTTTTGCATTTTTGCAGCTAAATGTGGCTGGAGAAAAACTTAAAACTCCACTGACTGATCTTATTTTAAATTTATGATTTATGACCAGGAACCTCAAGTAGGTCTTTAATTCTGCCAGACAGAATTAATAATATATCTTTCTGGTTTATTCTCACTCACTCTCTTAAATGATTATTTCATAACTTTTCTGTCTTTGCAAACTCCCCATCCTGATGACCTTGCTTCCTCTTTTAATGAGGAAAATAAAGCAAAAAGAGGAGAATGTCCATAAACAAGCTACCTGCTAGCATGTACACACAAAAGCTCTTGTTTTCTTGCCTCTTACCGTACCCAAAGCACTTAAATGATTTGTATATCCCTAGCACCTATTTGGTGCCTGGCTCGTAATAGATACTCATTATTCATACACACACACATATACATATATGTGTGTGTGGGTATAAAATAAAATTTGGCAGGGCATGGTGGCTCATGCATATAGTCCCAGCTACTTGGGAGGCTGAGGCAGGAGGATTGCTGTGAGCTATGACACCGTGGCACTCTACCCAGGGCAACAGAGTGAGACTCTGTCTTGAAAGAAAAAAAAATATTTCCCACACTAGAATGAAATCTTTGGAAAATAATTGTGGTGAGCATAACATCGTGAACAGACTAACTTCAAAAATGAAAATGACTTCCATGATAACTAAGGTCTGTCAGAAGACCAGTTCTCCAGGACTGTATTTTTATGTATGTCCCTATAATCTATCTTAGGATCTTGTTTAGCAATTAGATTGTATTTTGGCTCCCTCAGTTTCTACATTTTTATATTACAATAATGAAATATCCTGAGGATATTAGAATCTGAAAATGCAGAGAAATCATTGTTGACCTACCTTTTCATCAGTCTAGTAGTTATAATTATTTCCTTATAAAATGAGAAAACTGAAAAGTCACCTTATTGCTTAGAAGAAATTGGCTTCTCTAAACCCTTGTTCATTGCTTTACAGTTGCAAAGAAACTTACTTTTTATTTTTTAGTTTATTAGTCCTACATTGAGTGAACTAGCTTAAGGAAATATCTTCACATCCAGGATGAAGGAGATCATGTATTTGAACAGGGTGGTGACCTTATGTAGGTAGGAAGTTTATTTCCAGCTCCTTTATATCTAACTATGACAGCTTTGTAGCAAGTAAGTCGATGCTGAATGATCCATTAGGTAGAATATCATGGTAAAAGGACAAATGTTACTCGTATAACTTTGAGGAAGAATGTAAATGCAATAATGTTAAGCAATAGAAGAAACACATTATATTATTATAATAATGTAAAAAGCCATAAATATCTAAAGATTGAGAGTAATAATAAAATTTAAATAAATTATTTGCCTTAAATGTCAGATAGTTTGTACATTTTTACATTACTCATCTTTGGTTTGTTTCTGATGACAGGTAGACAGAAGGACCGGGGCTCTAGCCCCTCCTCTTTACCAGCTGTGTGTCCTTAGGCAAATTGCTTGTTGTAACATGACAATAATCGTACCTCTCTTGGAGGGTGCTGTGATTTAATACTCAACAACAGTGACTGCAGAGGGCTCGGCATGGCACGACACACAGTAGATGTTTCATGTACTCCTCCCACTGCTAAATAGGCAGCACAAAAATGTTAAACAAGTAAAAACTTCCAGAAG